GGGGGGGGGGTAGTGAGGGGGGGGTAGTGAGGGGGGGGGTAGTGAGGGGGGGGGTAGTGAGGGGGGGGTAGTGAGGGGGGTAGTGAGGGGGGGGTAGTGAGGGGGGGGTAGTGAGGGGGGGGTAGTGAGGGGGGGGTAGTGAGGGGGGGTAGTGAGGGGGGGGTAGTGAGGGGGGGGTAGTGAGTGGGGGGGTAGTGAGGGGGGGTAGTGAGGGGGGGGTAGTGAGTGGGGGTGGGGGGTAGTGAGGGGGGGGGGTAGTGAGGGGGGGGGTAGCGAGGGGGAGTGGGGGGTAGTGAGGGGGGGATAGTGAGGGGGGTGGGGGAAGTGAGGGGGGTAGTGAGGGGGGGGGGGGTAGCGAGGGGGGGGGTAGTGAGGGGGGGGTAGTGAGGGGGGGGGTAGCGAGGGGGGGTGGGGGGTAGTGAGGGGGGGGTAGTGAGGGGGGTGGGGGGTAGTGAGGGGGGGTAGTGAGGGGGGGGGTAGCGAGGGGGGGGGGGGTAGTGAGGGGGGGGGTAGTGAGGGGGGGGGCAAATTAAACATCAAACACCACCACCAACAGACCGTCCACGCTTTAACACGTCGAAGGCTTTCGCGACCAATATCATCCGCGCAGTGTCACGTTATTCTTTTGTTTGGGTTAGATCGCGTACATTTATCAATGTGTCGTTAAACCCGCCACCACCCGTCATAGCCAATTAGCAAAAGGGTTGTCACGTCAACAACGAATTTGCGTGTGTGTGTGTTTTTTTATAACTTCACACACCGCACAAAGGGACTCGTTTGAAATTAAGTCGAAGATTAATAATTATTATCCACCAAAGGCATAGATCCTCTCCCATATAGCCTCAAGAGACTGTCGGGGCAAGTGCTGGCACGGCAAATGAGGGGGTGGGTGGCCAGCAACCACGCCCGGACGCCTTTGTCTCTCTGCCCAGTGCTGATAGTGTTTACACACCACACCAGGTACTTATTTCAGGCCGAGACAACCTAGGGGAGGGACCCAGGACCGGTTCAGATAATCGTCACTGCTCTTGGCCGTGGACTAGGAATCGAACTGGGCTCGTGAGGTTTGCAGCGCAAGCGCGCTCACCACTGGCCCACCGCTCCCCACGATCTCCAAACAACAACAACAACAACCGCCGTTCACCACTTAGTGGCGGCATCGTCACTCCGGCGCCTGTGCCAGGCTACGTGCACTTTGAGGCCACGTGAAGTGTCGAAGGTTCGCCGCTGGCAGGAGGTCACGGAACGTACCCCGGCAGGTGCCATGGGTTGACTGAGATGACTGGCAGACGCATCAACCCCACACAAACACTGTCACTCACGCACACGCACACGCACGCGCTCGCTCGCTCGCATCACACAAATCCCGTCTCACTGCAAGGACGCAATTTAACACGAGTCATAAACATCCCCATTTACGGATAAAATACATGGCGAGATTCACATTAAAAATCCAGACTCTTCTCTCTACAATCACAACAAGCCTCGTAACGCCGCAATAAAACACACACGCACGCGCGCACGCGGACACACACACACATACAGAACTCAATATAAACCAATATAAAGTTCCCACGTTTAGTCGTTCACAGACTGTTGGGGAAGTAGCACGGTCGGCCACGTGCGGTGAGAAACGAGTTCAGCATACGGTCATACATGCCACCAATGTCATCACAATAACAAGCGCTCACACGCCACACACACACACACACCCTGGACAACAACGCATACTGTGGAGAAGAAATCACAACGGACAGACAACACACACACAGATAAATGTCTCCCGTATAGCCTTGGCAGACTGATAGGGCAAGTGTTCTTAGTGAGCACCTATGAAGGCCGGCACGACACACGTAGGAGGTGGGTGGGGGGGGGGTGTTTTCAGCAGCCGCCTTTGTCTTCCCAGTTCCCGATGTTTACACATCGCATCAGTTGACTCATTTCGAGGCTGGTTCAATCTAGGAGAGGCCCACAAGCGTTGCAAATCTTCGCCACTATCATTGGGTCCAGAGCATTGAGTCGAACTCGGGGGTGGGGGGGAGGGGTTCGTCGGATTCGTAGCGCAGTGCTCCCCCTATGCACACGCAGAGACGCACGCAGATTCGGGTGCGCACACACACAGTCGCACGCGATGTATGTCAACTTCGCTACGAACTTCGGTGAACCGAGTTCGATTGGCGGTCATGGCCGCACAAAGTCCTCGGGCAAGTCTTCGGCCTCCCCTAAGTCGACTCGGCCTCAAACGAGGAGACCCCGACTCGGAGCGTAACTACGATGACTGCGACTTCCAGTCGGCCATGGCTGGGGAGGCAACGCCTTTTGGGGCGTTCTTATTGTTGGAGTAGACCCAGCGTCGGCAAACCCCCGAACTTCCTTTTCCTGGACCCCCCCCCCCACCCCACAAAGTAACGTGACCCCTAGCCAAGCCGAGTGTCCCCCACGCTGCTCAGCCCAGCGCTGTGGGTCGGTTGGCGGTGGATCACCGCACAGATGTCGTCGTGAAACTCCCCTCTCGGCCGTGGGCGTGGAGGAAGGTGCCCTATCGCCATCTGTACGGGGGATACGGGGATACAGCGTTGCCCCCTCCGTCGTAAGGCGTGGGGTTTGTTGTTGTTGGGGGCTCTAAGGTTTCCTGGGCACGTCATGACAACAGGGCGGGGTTCTTCACAATCCTGGCTGTCGCCTGATGAGGCTGGTTTGCGATTAGCGGCGAAACGCTACGGTGCTCGCATTGTAAAAGTTGTGGCTTCACTCCCCAACACACCGCCGGTCTGTGCTGAACGAGTAACTAATTGAGCGCGTTTTGTTTCCGTGACAAATCCTCACTCATTGGCTGTGTCAGGTAGTGGCAGGTTTAACGACGCATTTCTATTTACGCGATCTAACACAATATAAAAAAACCCATGTAGCCGCAGCAGGGGGGCCCTTCTGTAAAAGAGTCGTACGACCCGGCGTGACTCTCCTGGACAAATAGATAACAAATCAAATTCTAATCAGTGAACCCTGGGTTCGGACTCGAACGCAGCGGGCAGGGCTGCTTGACTGGCGATAGCGGATGTGGTAAGAGTTGGCGTGGGGGGGGGGTGTAACGGGACGCGGGGGGGGGGGGGAGTGATTGATGAACGCGTTAATGGGGGGCATAGGGCGCCCCAGCCAGCCAGGAGCGCGTTAATGAGCCGCTAACGAGGAGCGATGTCCCGCGGTCAAGGCTCACCCACAGGCTCTGTCACTGCTGATGAAGCCACGTGAGGCGTTGCCGGGGTTGTGCGCCTGTGATCCCTCGGCAGGTTGTGATGGTGAGGGTGTGATGGCGTTGCTGTGATTGGGTGATCCCATGGGGGGTGATGCCGTGGGTGTGGTTGGGTGATGCTGCCGGGGGTGTGATGCCGTGGGTGTGATACTGAGGATGTGATACCGTGGGTGTGAGTGCGTGATGCCTGTTGTTTGTCTCCCGGGGTGCCCGGTTCGAGGCCTCGGGGGTTCCCGGAGTCTAACGATTGCCGCCTGGGCCCCCGCCGTGTCTCCCCCCGCCGTGTCTCCCCCCACCGTGTCTCCCCCCCAGGCCTGGCATGATGAGCGTGCATCCCCTCGCGGGTCCCTGACTCCCGCCATGACCCCTCGGGCTGCCCTGCAGCCCGCGCTACCGCCGACGTGAGGAGCAACCTCCGTGACCGCCCCCCCCCCTCCCCCCGCGGGACCCACCCCTCGCCATCGAGGAGTGAGCCTCCAACCATGGCCTCGTCCCCTCCGCTCCACCTGCCGCTGCCGCTGCTGCTGCCGCTCCTGCTTCTCCTGCTGCTGCTGGCGCCGCCGGCCTGCCGCTCCGACTGCTGGTTCCTGGAGGGTGATCGCGAGTTCGTGTGGCAGGCGATCTGCAGCCAGAACCAGCCACCCTACGAGTCGATCCCGCCGCACATCAACAGCACGGTGATGGACATCAAGCTGAACAACAACAAGATCCGCTCCGTGCAGCACGCGTCGCTCCGGCGCTTCGTGAACCTCACGAACCTCGACCTCACGCACAACGCCATCGAGTCGATCGAGGACGGAGCCTTCTCGTCACAGAGGAACCTCCGGGTGCTCCGCCTGAGCCACAACCTCGTGGCGCGCCTCGACGAGGGCCTCCTGCGAGGCCTCGCCGGCCTCGAGAGCCTCTACCTGCAGTCGAACCGCATCGAAGTGGTGACCGCCACGGCCCTAAGGCCCTGCCCCCAGCTCGGCATCCTCGACGTCTCGGACAACCGCCTCGCGTGGCTGGACGAGCACGTTTTCGACGCGTCGCCCGCGCTGCGCCTGCTCAACCTGTCGGGCAACCCCTTCCACTGCGGCTGCACCCTGCTGCCCTTCCTGCGCTGGCTCTACTTCCAGCAGCCCCTGTGGGAGCCGCGGGCCACCTGCGAGCCGGGCCTCCTGCCGCTGCTGAGCGGCAACGACCGGCAGCAGCGCGGCGCGTACGAGCAGCTCGCGCAAAACTGCTCGGCCGACTCGCAGCGCAGGCCCACGCTGCCGCCGCTGCAGGCCACGGTGCCTCCCGTGGACGAATGCGGCGGAGGCGGAGGCGACGGTTGCGGTTCGGCGGCGGGGCCGGAGTTCACGCCGGCTCCCGAGCCGCGCGTGCACGTCCAGTACACGGTGGAGGGCGCCCTGCCCAGGATGAGCGTCCAGTCGGTGGGGCCCACGTCGGCCGTGGTCGACATCCACATCCCGCGGGTGGGCAGCAGGATGTACATGCTGGTGCGCGGCAACGGCACTGCCTCCGAGGTGGTCAAGCACCTGCCGCTGACGGACGAGACGGTGAGCCTCAAGGACCTGCAGCCGGGCACCACCTACGTGTTCTGCGTAGCGTACATGAAGGGCGGGCGGCGCGAGCACATCAAGTGCGCCGAGGTGGAGACGCGCCCGCGCGGCTGGTGGGACGCGGCCGCCTCCTCGGCGGTACGCCACTACGCGATGACCACCCTCTACTGCCTCGCTGGCATGGCGTTCGTGCTGGGCGCCGTCTACTGCTGCCTGCGGCGGCGGCGGCGCCACGAGGAGCGGCAGCAGCAGCAGCGGAGCAAGTCGGCCACGCTCAAGAAGACGCTCGCCGACATGCGCCAGGGCTCGCAGACCGAGGCGGGCGGTGCCAGCTACCAGCTGTTGCCCACCAAGTCGGAGAGCGGCACGCCGACGCGCCCGCCGCCCGTCGCCGCCGCAGGCGCCCCGCCCGAGCTGGACGACGCGAAAGCGGCGGCGGAGGTGGCGGGCGACGCGCCCCGTACCGCCAAGGGCGACTACCTGGAGGTGCGTACGGGCGAGGGCGCCGGCGACCCCGCCGCTGAGAGCCACGACGGCGGCGGCGGCGGAGGCGGCAAGCGGCGGGGGGCGGAGGAGAGGCGCGACTCGGTGGCGGAGATCGCCACCATCGCCAAGGAGGTGGACAAGGTCAATCGCATCATCAACAACTGCATCGACGCGCTCAAGTCCGAGGCGGGCGCCACCGCTCCTCCGGGGGGCCCGGAGCCCCCCGCCGGGCCCCCCGCCCCAAGCGCGTTGCGGGGGGCCGAGGAACGGGTCGCCCCGGGACCCCCTCCGACCGCCGCCATCGCCGTCTCCGCCTCGTCCTCCTCCTACGGGGACCCCTACGGCCCCGCGCCACAAAAGAGTTTCCTGCCCGAGCATTCACCGCGCCGCCCCGGGGGGCCCCGCCCCGCGGGGGGGCGCCCGCACTGCGGCAGCGACCCTGCGTACGGGGCCCCCCAGGGCGGCGGCGGGGAGCCGAGGGGCGCGGGGGGGGCGGCGGGGGGGACGGCGGGGGGGGCCCACGACAGGGGCCCCCGGGGCGGCCGCGCCCCCGTGCAGCGAGGCGGCTCCGTGACGTCCACCGTGTCCACGCGCCTGGAGGCCCAGGGCCCCGACGGCCACCGCCACTCCTACCCGGGGCCCCTGCAGCAGCAGCAGCAGCCGCCCCCGTACACCCAGCACCAGCAGCTGCAGCTGCAGCAGCAGCAGCTGCAGCTCCAGCAGCAGCAGAAACTGCAGCAGCAGCAGCTGGCGCTCCGGCATGGCACGCTGGGGCTGCGCTCCCCGAGCCTCGTGCCGGGAGTGCCGCTCCCCCGCGCGCCCGTCATGAGCGCCCTCGGTTGCGCCGTCCCCGTGCCCCCCACGGTGGCGCTCCCCCTGCAGCAGCAGCCGCAGCAGCATCTGCAGCAGCAGCTGCAGCAGCAGCAACAACAGCTGCAGCAGTATCATCACCAGCAGCAGCAGCAGCCGCAGCAACAGGCCAGGAGCGCCTACTGTCAGCTGTCCCCACGCTCGCAGCGCTCGGGGTACTACTCCAGCCCCGAGTACTCGGCTAAGAGCGTGCAGAAGATCTGGGTCCGATTCAAGCCGCAACAACAGCAGCAGCAGCAACAGCAACAGCAGCAGCCACAGCAGCACAAGAAGGTGGAGGAGGAGCATATGGCGGCGGGACACGCACTCAAGATGAAGGTTCAGCTCGCCACGGACGAGGACCTCCATGACATCCTGGACTTCTGGAAAGGCGTCTCAGCGCAGCAGAAGCCATGAGGGCTCGCTAGGCGCATGGGGTTGTGGGGGATTTGTGGAGGGAGTGGGGGGCCACAGAGCCAGGGGGTTTCGTGGTGGGAGCCCTGGAGTGGACCTCCCCCACCACCACCCTCCGTTTTTTGGTGATCATCAATCGGGACCCCCCCACCACCACTCCCCCGATCCCCTCCGCGTGAGCGATTGGAGTTGTTTGTTTAAGCGCGGGGGGGGGGGCACTGAGATTAATTGCCCCCCCCCCTCTACCACCGGAGAAGCGGGGAGACCCGGGTCATGGAAGGGGTCACCGCTTTTGTTATCCGCAGCAGCCGCGGGCACTGTCGGCGATTCCGAGGCGCGAGTTCGCTCCGACCTTGAACCCGGGGCTCGTAACGGCTGACGCCTGTCGGTGCCCAGACGCGGGGTGGTGTTGACATCAACTCGCGAAGGGGGTCGGGTCAACCCCCGGGTTCCCTCTACCCCCCCCCATCCCCCCAATGCTGTCCCCCAAGCCCACGACCCCCCCTATCCCCCGCGTGGCTGCTCGCTCCTCACTGTTGCATGAAGCGTGGATTTGCGTTGATAGCGGCAGCCGCGAACTCCCCCCCCTTCCCCCGCCCGCAACCCCGGGCTATCCTCCTGACCCCCCCTGCCCCCCCCCCCCTGACCTCTCCCCTTGACCTCTCCCCGCCCCGCCCGCCCCGCCCCTCAGTGTTGTTGGGCTTCGCGGTGGAAGCTGCGATTGACGCTGCTGCCTTCCACGGTTGTGGCCGGGGCCTGAATGACGCACAGCCCCCCGACCCCCACCCTCACCCCGCCGTAGTTTATGGGATTAGTTTGTACGGCCGCTAATTTTGGGCAAAGGGTAGAGAGAGAGAGAGAGGCAGCGGCAACCCGGAGGCTCTTCCATCACGTTTCGGCGGAGGGGGTGGGTGGGTGGGGGAAGAAATAAAAGCCTCGTTCCGCCTTCGCACAAATTACGACCCCTTCGGATCCAATTCCCCGGGCTGGGCTGGGCAGGCCGGGAGAGTTTCCCGTCGATTTTTTTGCGGGAAAGATGCCCCCCCCCCCACCCCTACCCCCCCCCCTGCGAGCAAATGATTCACGCGTGCCCCGTGCACGTGTCTCGCTAAGGGGAGTAGCTTTGTGACGTTGCGATGACGTCATCAATCGATTGTGTATCCCCTCCAAGGCCACCCACCCCCTCCCCCGTTATAGCATCAAAATCGATCATCTATTCCTCCGTTCATACCTTTTACGATGACGTCCTGAGCTTGATTATTTACGCATTCCCGCCTGTTGCTGTGACGTCACAAACGATTATTTATTGCCGCGTTCAAACCTTGTTACGATGACGCCACACATCGATTATTTATTACATCTTCAGACTTTCTTGGTAACGGCGTTGTAAGTCAACTATTTATGATCGTGTTCAAACCTATTGCGACGACGTCATGGGTATATTATTGCCGTGTTCAACTTTGTTGCTATGACGTCATACGCCGATTGTTTCATTACCTTATCCCAACCCCGTTATGACGTCAGGTAATTGATAATTTCTTATGACCGTGTTCGTTTACAGAGGCGATTGCGCCGGTGACCCACGACCCCCCAACTCGGGCGCGCACACTCCGGGTGTGTGGAGTGTCTGGTACGTGAGGGGCCGTCCATAAATGACGTCACGCACCTGGGGGGGGGGGTCAGACATTTGTGACGATGTGTGACGAGGGGGGGGGGGGTTGAGAGATGTGACGTCACATCAAAATGCGCAACTTTAAATAAATATAGACAACACGTTCTACTTAATTAAATAGACTTTTTAAATAAATGTTTTCTCCTACAACATCAGAGTGCAGCGCCACATTAAATACGCACTACAATGACAATAGTTTAAAGCGATTTGAAACATGTTTTATTTAAAAAAAATTATTATGGTTTTGGGGGGGGGGGCAGAGCTTTCAGGGGGGGGTCTGACTTTTTGTGACGCCGTGTGACGAGGGGGGGGATCAAAAATCGTCCAAAATCGCGTGACGTCATTTATGGACGGCCCCTAAGGTGTGTGCGTGCCTGTGTGTATGTACGTACGATTGTTGGTGTGTACGTGTGTGTGTGCGTGTGTACGCGTGTGTACGCGTGGCTGGTGGAGAGCGGTAATACGGCGGTTAGCGCAACCGTGCTACACATCCAGCTAGCCCAGTTCGATTCCTGCTCGCGACCGATAGCAGAACCCGGCACTGAGCATGCCCGAGGTCGGCTCGGCCTCAAATAAATTTCCTAGTGGCCATGTGTAACCATAGCCACGAGGAAGACAAAGGCGGCCGGGCGTGGCGCTGGCTACCCACCCCCTCGTGTGCCCTGGCGGCCTTCACCGGTGCTCGCTAACGGCACTTGCCCCGTAAGTCTGCTAAAGGCTACACGGAGGGTCGATGTCATTATATTTGCACGCGTGGTTGTGCGTTCGTGCGTGCATAGCTCGCGGGGAGCCGTGGCGTAGTGGTTGAGGCGCTTGCGCTCCGAACCCGGGCCGCCTGAGTTCGACTCCCTCACACAGTTAACATCAGTATCGAAGGCCTCCTCCCCTCCAGGTGGATTCAACCACGTGACGTGTAAAGTGTCAGAACTAGGAAGAGAAAGGCGGCCGGGGGGGAATTGTTCTACCCTGCAGCATCCTGCCGTGCGCTGTGCTCGGACGTAATGGGTGCTCGCTAACAGCAGCACTTTCCCCGAAGGGTTTACTATGTGTGGACTGAGATACCATTTTACAAGTGGCAGTGGGTCTGAGGGAGTTTGGGGGGGGGTGGAGAGAAGGGCTTAAACTAAACGAAACTATGTTTTATGTTACAAAGGAAGGCTCACTGAGCTGTATAGTTATTTTTCAGAAGCGACCTTGCTATCACAAATGACAGCTTAGCGAAGCGGCTTATCACATGGAATGTTTCGCAGCCTAAACGCGTCACGTCGATTCTAAATGTGGAGGGGAAAACCGGAGATCCCGGAGAAAAATCCACGCGACCACGGGGAGAGAGAGAGAGAGACGCGCAAACTCCAAATATACAACAGGCGTCAGGTCAGGATTGCACCCACGACCTCCTGTGTACCAGGAGAGGTAGTTAGGTAGTTAGCATCTCGCCACTGTGACTGGTAAGAGAGGGGAGGGGGGTAGGAAGACGCTGTCGCCTGGAGGAGTTTGATTCCCCGACTCAGATTGCACTCTGATTTACAACGAGCATAATTACAAAAACACATTCCCTCTTTTGCCGAAGAAATATGTCAAGCATCACCGCATCCCCCCCCCTCCTCCAAAAACATTATCTCTCTGCCCCCGAGCAAAGCTCTAAAGATAGCTCGCTATATAGAGAACATTGCTGTTCGTAATGAACGCGATGTGTTATCTTTGACAGTAAACAATGCCGATCAATAACAACAACGATAATTCATACCACCACCCGCCGTAGTCGCCGTCGTCGTCGTCGCCGCCGCCCACGTGCGTGTCAGCCGGGCTGTGCCACGTGGCCTTTCCTGTGACACGTGGTCTTTCCTGTGCCACGTGGGCTGCTCCGTCATCAAAGGGGGAGGGGCGTTGGCGAGGCCTGGTGGATCGCTGCACACAGCGTTGCCCGAAGCTCCTAGGTGCAGCAAAGTGCACGAGCTCATTTAATTGTTTGTATCTGCCCCCCCCCTTCCCATTCGAATGGGATACTCGCAGGGGCTCGGCAAACCAAAATAACAAGAAGTGGCATTTTTTTGAATTCGCTGACAAAACAATTCAATATTTCGAGAGCTACAATGCCATGTGAACAACGTCACAAAGCAGTCGTTTCAAAGGGCCGCAGATTTGCCGACACCCCGGGATAGGGTGTTGCCCCCTCGCATGCAACGCGGGTTTTCACCGGGCGCTCCAGTTTCCTCCCGCACGTAAACACTCGTGTATTGGCTGATAACACCTTCATGCATAGAGGGCGGCAGAGCTCGGAGGTGAAATTGGTTCCTCGTCGCGCCTCTGAGTCGTCCTCTCTCTCTCTGTGTCTCCTCTTCGAGAGTGAGCGACTACCGTCAGACTGCGGCACGTTACAAAAATATGATTATGTTGAAGGGGACGTACAGATGCATTGATTGATTAACCAATTAATCTATTCTTAAGGCTCACGATACAATAATACAACCGCGTGTCACGTCTAGGTTCACGGCGGCTCAACAAAACAAGACGAGCAAATATACAATCGCGTTCCTCAACCGAATGGCGGTTGTGGGTCACGGGCAGAGGCGCAGGCCCTGCAACTGCCCTGCGCGCGCCACTGCTAGTGTAAAGGCCCTTCTTTTAGAAAGAGATCGAACACGGACAAGCCTATCGAGAGGGTATTTTGCCTACTTCTTCCATGGCTGGCCAGATGTCTCGGAACATATATTTTTTAAGGGAAAGAGAAGTTGACGGAGGGGGTTAAATTCAGTCCGATGGAGTAAGGGGGCAGGGGTTCTCCCACTGTTCCCACGTGGTTCCACGTACGGTGTGGGATTGAAGGTGTGCACGTGCGTACGACCTGTGTGTGTGTGAATGTTTGAAGGCACGCATGTCTGTCTGTGTGTATGTATGCGTGAGAGGGGAGCGGTAGTGTAGTGGTTAGCGTGCTGCGCTACAAACCTGGCGACCCGGGTTCGACTCCCGCTCACGGCCAACACCGATGACGATTATTTGAACCGGTCCTGGGCCTCCCTTAGGTCGTCTCAGTCTCAAAAGCGTACCTGGTGTGAGATGTGTGAGCATCGCCACTAGGGAGACAAAGGCGGCCGGACGTGATGTTGGCCACCCACCCCTCGTGTGTCGTATTGGCCTTCATAGGTGCTTGCTAACAGCACTTGCCCCAACAGTTTGTATAAGGCTAGTCGGGGGGATCTTTGTCTTTTTTTACGTGTGAGAGAACATACGTGTGCATGTATGTGTATGCGTGTGTCCGTGTGTGTGTGTGTGGGTGTATATTTTGTCTTGGTATGTCCGCCCGTTGAGATGATATATTCTATATATACACACACACAGTAACATTTATCGTCTGGATTTTCCACGTGATGTAATCCAGGTGCGAGTGGGAAGCGATTTTCGCCGCGCCGGGCAAATCTCGGGGGTCGTCTTTTCGGCGACAGCATTTCCCCCGGGGAGCTGTTTTTATTTTTCCTTTATTTCTTCCTTCCTTCCTCTCCTTTTCGTTTTTTTCCACCGTAACCCACGCGTATACAGTATACACATACTGCATACAGTATATATATCGGTTTTATTCGTAGATATATATGTACACGCATGTATACAGTGTATATGGAGCATATGCAGTGCATATGCAGGTCCACAGGGCCCCCCACCCTGATTATCTGCGCCCCCCCCTCTCTCCTGCCCCCCACCCCCTCGTGCCCCCTGGCCGGGTCTCAGGGGCCCCGAGCCCCTTTTGGGGGGGGGGGGCAGCGGGGGGGGGGGGGGGGTTGCTATTGTCGGGGGTCCCTGGTGTTTGTATTGAGGCGTGTCGGTTTCTGTGGCGATGGGAGTGGGGATCCGGGGAATCGGGGAAATCTCGGACCCCCGAATTGTGACCTCACACCCCCCCCCGCCCCCACCATCGCGACCCCTGGTTACGTGCGGGGGGGGGGGTCCCCGGGGTCATGACCTCACGGGGTTCTAGATCCCCCCCTCCCCCCACGGCTGCTCGATACCCCCCTCTTCCTTTTGAACCCCCCTCAACACTACCCCGCAACCTTCAATACCACCCCCCACCAGCCCCCCCCTCCCCCTCCCAGCATTCATGACTCCCTAACCAACCCAGCAGCCTCCCCCCACACCACTAGGCGTGTAACGATTAATCGAATCGATAACATCGATTGTTGAGCTCAGGGATACGTGCATCGTATCGGGAGCGTACGAATCGATTCCATTCCCGGCTCATGCGTGGCATGCATGAGTATATACTTGCTCGTTTATTCAGCAAGTAGATATACAGGATACATATACTCTATTTGCGCAAGTGTTTTGCTACCCGCACTGTATATGTATCTGTGAGCCCAGTCCATTACCTCCGCGAATTCCACGCGGCCACCCCGTGAATGTTCGGTCTTCGGGCCTTTTGTAGTTTTTTATTTATTTATTATGAACAGAAGTTTCAGATATCCATTCGAGGAGGAGTTTAGCCCCGATTTGTTTGTTGATGGATCGGGAAATTATGGCCTTCGATAAGGACATTTTCGATTATCCGAAAATGAAAAAAAAAATCCCGGGGAGAATTTTTTTTTTCGAGTTTGAAAAATAGGACGTCACGAGGGAAATGTGACGTCACAGGGGAGGGCAATATGGCGTCACGGGCGAAAGTGACGTCACAAGGGAATATGACGTCACATGAGAAGCACATTATCACAGAGGAAATGTGACGTCACTTTCCACGCGCCTTGCTTTTCCCCACCATGCGGGTGGCGTCCTCGTAGCATCGGATGTCCTCACTTTTCTTGTCAAACTCTCACACTGTCAAATGATTGGAAACATCCGATACAGTATCTGAAACTTCTGATATCGTGGCGTTTAATGGGGGTCATTCATTGACCCGTCGGGAACGCAATTCAACCAAATATTAATACTGTATTCATAATGATTCTTACGAATAATAATGATAATGCGTCTGATATCATGTGCGTGCATTC